TTCCTAAGTGTATCTAAACTGTCTTTCAATATTCTTTGCAGGGTGGGCTTGATGACCATGAAGTTCTTCAGCTGTTCTTTTTCATGGAAGTATCTTATTTCTCCATCCATTTTGAGGGACCATTTTGCAGGGTACAGCAGTCTAGGTTGAAAATCATTTTCCTTTAGGATCTGAAATACACTCCATGCTCTTCTTGATTTCGTTGTTTGTGCTGAGAAGTCTGCTGTGATTCTGATAGGTTTTCCTTTATAGGTGATCTGTCTTTTCTCTCTGATAGCTTTTAGTATTCTATTCTTTTGTTGGATTTCTGGGATTGTGATTATTATATGTCTGGGTGTAGTTTTATTATGGTTATGACTATTCAGAGTTCTATATGCTTCACTGATCCTGATGTCAGTTTCCATTCTCATGTTTGGGAGGTTTTCATCTATTACTTCTCTAAATATCCTCTTTATATCTTTTATGTTGCCCCCTTCTGTTTCATTTATCCCTATCAATCTTATGTTGTTTTTCTTTGCATCATCTTGCAGCTGTTGAATTGTTATTTCCTGATTCCTTGTTATTTTTAAAAGATCTTTCCTTTCCTGCTCACTGGCTGCAATCTTGTCTTTGAGTTCTGAAATTCTATCTTCACTTTCTTTTAGGTGGTTTTTACAACTTTCAATGGAATTTTGATTTCCTGTATGTCTCTTTCCATCTGCTTTGTGTATTCTGTTTGTTTCTTATATTGTTCATCCAAGAATTCTACCTTTTTGTTTAGTTTCTCCAGTTTTTAAATTGTGTCTTCTTTAGGTATGTTCAGCATCTCTTCCATTACTTTTATCATTTCTTCTTTTATCTGGGATATTATTTCTAGTTTGAATTCCTTTAAAGCTTCCTGGATTTGCTTCTTTATTTCAGTTGCTATTATTTTGGATATTGCAGGTGTATCGCATATATTTTCTTCTATACATAGCTCCTAAGGTTTCTTGGGATGGGCTGGAGGTTTCAGATTGCATTTGGTGTTTCGCTTTGTCATTTTCCTACATTTCTATGCTTCAAGTGTTGTTCCAAGGCTTCCCCTGGATGTGTTGGAAATGGTCTCCCATGCCCTAGGCTCCTGGGAATGAATGGAGGTTGCTGAGCCTGGTCCAGTTAGGCCCTTAGGCCCTCCGGTGCCACCTTCAGTGTTTCAGGTAGCTGGGCATGCACCTAACCACTGTGGATGATGGGTTCAAGCTTTCCCTGGTGAAGACCAATGCCCTGGAACTCACTTCACCTACTCTCAAATCCTGTAATTGAAGAAGGTCACTGGGCATAACATAGTTCATCCACAAAACCTCCTGAGGCTAGTCTAGTGTGCCTGGGCTCTGGTTGCATCCTTGAGCTCCAGAAGAGATGATTCTAAAGTCTCCTGGGGCTCGGAGTAGTGCAAATTTACCTCTGATGCCACTGTTTCCTAGTTTGGGAGAAGGTCACTGGGCATGTCCTGGGCAGTCCTGAAACCTGCCAAGCACAGCCCAGTGTGGCTGGGCTCTGGGTGGTCCTTGAGCTCTGGAAGGGGTGATCTTAAGTCTCCCCAGGACTTGGGATGGCGCGTGGACTTACCCCAACCAGCTCTTTCCCAGTTTGTGAGGTCACTGGGCATGTCCTGGGCAGGCCTGAAACCTGGTAAGGGCAGCCTAGTGTGGCTGGGCTCTGGGCGGGTCCTTGAGCTCCTGAAGAGATTTGCTTAAACTCTGCCCAGGGTTCGGGATGACGCTTGGGCTTACTCCAGCCAGCTGAGTTTCCGGGTTTGGGAGGTCACTCTAATCTGGGAGTTCTCATGTTAACTCCCAGTGAGCTAGAAAAAAAGTGGAGTTTGTAACTTATTAACAAAGAGCAAAAACTCCAAGCCTGTAGTTCAACTCTTAATAAACATTTAAGAGATCACTTTAACAGTAACATTTCTGGTCACTGTGGGACAGAGGATACCAGAAGGCTGCTGAGACAGTTGCCTCTCACCTCACTGAGATGAACAGATAGAGACAGTATGTAAGTGAAGATGTTTTGCTGATTATACAGTCAGGCTGTTGGGACCCAACTTCTTCTGATGAACCTTTGAATATCTATCAGAGATTCACCGTGGCCATGAAGCCTGAATTATCCTCTCAGCTTTTATAGGTTCTGTGCCACCAAAGATTTGTGTCTGGAAAGGAATCCAAGTGCCTGTCTCATCAATATTTCATTAGCTTCAATAGGGATTAACCAGACGGTGCTAGGGAAACTTGTCCTATGCTTTAAGAGTGACAGTTACTCTAAAAGCACTTAACTCACTGACAGAGTAACCATTGTTTGTTAGGTTTTATGAGGGACAGATAAAAGGCCCAGATGTCTTCACCTAAGATGATTTTTCTGTCATTGGTATTGACAAATGTTCATTTTCAATGGCCTATGAAATGGAGGGAAAGGTTAGGATAATTCAGAGTTCTCTCTCTCTCTCTCTCTCTCTCTCTCTCTCTCTCTCTCCTCCTTACATGATTCCAAAAAAAGAAAGAAAGTATAAAAGGACAGGAAAAGATCAGAAATGAGATCAGAAAGAGGAACTCTTTTCTTCTCATACTCTCAGTGAGTTACATGCCCTTGAGCCATTACTCACAGGTTGGAAATGAGACAGCTGGAAATCTCAAGAGCTAAGATTGCCTCCCCACTCATAGAATATCAGACCAGAAAAGAAACTGTGCCATGACAGGCTCATCATATCCTTTAGAGTGTTCAGGAGTGGTCAGTCAAGTCTGGTACAGAAGCCTATCCCCAAGTCTTAAGAATAGCTGCTAGCCTGTTATCTTTTAAGTGAAAGTTAGTTTTTGTCTTTTTCACTGCCTGTCTTGAAGGGCTAGCCTGTCTGATTCCCTACAATATTTTTACCTAGCTTATCTGTTGATAACACTAAGATGGAGCACTAGTGGCATCCTCCATTCTCAGATCTCTACTGTAACCAATTCTGACCTTCTGTGCTCTTTTTGTAAGGATGATGAGAATGTGGACCACAGTACAGCAGTGAAGAATGAAACAGATGTGGTTTACTAGAATGCATAAAGAAAAGTTCTCACCAGATGACAGGGATTCCAAGCGAGGACACTAGGGAACCAGTTAAATCTGGGAGTGTATGTGCAGGCTCTGGCAAGTGACAGAATCATTTTGTCACTGATGGATGTTGTCTTGTACTGTTTTCAACCTTGATAGGTATATTAAAGTGAAGGTATGTAGTTGTCACTGTTGCTAGGCTTCTTGTTGTGTACAGATTTTATTAGTCTTTTGTCCTTTGTACTCTAGTTAAAGTGAGACTTATTTTGCTTTACGTTTAGTTTACTCCAGTCTTTGCCACAATCTGTTGAGGGTTCCTTTATCTCCTGGTCTCACTGTCAGGTACAGTGCCTGAAATCCCATAACTAACACTGGATTCCTTGTCCTTGAAGGTTTCTTTGGATCTCTAGCTCATCCAGCAGCAGTAGGAGACATTCTCTTGTCTCCTTCTCACCAAGTCATTTTCCACTCTCTAAATGGATGTCCTCCGTGACCCCTTATCCTCCACTCTGGCCTCACATTAAAGTGCCCTGCCCTAGCTAAGTCCTTAAGCCAGCTCTGTTGTGGTGCTTCAGGAACATTGTTAACAGAGAATCTGAACACAGGAGGCACTCAACAAAGAAGTGTTTCACACTCCCTCTGAGGTCCACAGAGGGGCTGTGTTATCTTATAAAAGACTGGCCAGGTTCATCCCCTGCATCAAGCCTGGAGTGCTAACTCAGCTCTGGGTTGACTGAGTGACTGAAGCTGGGATCAGGAAGCAGTAATTCTCAAGTAGGCAGTGAGTGCTGAGGAGCAGGCCAGGCACTAGGCTTTCTTCTTAAACCAGCCTGGGATGCCTCCCACTTTTCCTGTGTCCTTCTTGGGCTTTGGGACATGGAATTAATAGGAAATTGATCTTTTGTATTCATTGAGTCACACATTCAGATTCTATGAGTAAACTGATACCCAGGGAGGGTGGGATAAGGAGAAACAAGAGGGCCTGTGGGTGGATATTGGATTCCAAATTTGTCAGCTGGGCCACCACTGTTTTTGTTAAGATCACCCCCATTGAACAGATGGGGAAACTCAGACCAAGAGTGGATTAGGACAAGGACAGATCCAGGTAACTGTGGAGTCAGGAGGCAGAATCTGGGTTGGCTTCTCTTAAGACCATTGTAATTGCTATTACTATTGTCAAGCTTGACTGGAGAATGACTCTCCCAGAACCCGACCTGTTTGTCAGAGCAAACATTATTCTCAGAGCAAACCCAATAGAGCATTAGTGTTGTCATTCTCAGCAAACACAGGATACCATAAAATGAGGTAAAATGGAGCATGAAATCTTCCAAGCACTGGGACATCTGAAAACAAGTACAAATTTATGTTTGTTTTATTCAGGTTCCTGAAGGACTTTGCTCACAGAGATATTGGATATTCAGAAAACTTAAAACATGGATGTCTGCAAAAATCTCCTCACCTGAGGTCCCCATCTTCTTTGTCCAAGCCCTGTAAAAAAGCTCCATTTCCTCTGGACCATACAAGGGCTTTTCACTTTCTGTCTGACTGCTCTCAAGTACAATAAATTTCATGCCATGTTACCTTTATACAAACATGGTAGTCTCTGCTGGTGTCTGATATAAAGCATTCCTTATGATTATTACTAGTCACTGTTATTTCTATTTTTCAGGTGGCCAGGCTGTGTTCCCACCCAGAGTGATGCTGAAGGCTGAGCAGGGCTCCTTGTATTACTGGCCACTTAGGTTAGTTTTGTCTGCTTGCTGGTGACCAAATCAAAGGAGGCCATGTGTCTGGGTAAAAATGAAATAGGATTTGTTAAAAAGTAGCTCTGAGAGGATGGAAAGTCCTCTTTCATTCATATCATCACCCCACCTGGACGAGGCCTTTATTGTAAGAAACGGAAGGAAAGGAAACACAGAGAAAATGAAAATAATTACAATTACTTTATTACTTTTAACCATCTTCAATTAATTGTCCACTTTCTTGTGGAAAGGAATCCAGGCTCCAGAGTTTCTGGTGTCTCCATGTACATATTCTTTTCATTCATCTGTGCAGAGGAGAGGTGGGAGAAATCTGTTTATGTCCTAGGCCAGTGATGAAGAATGTTTAGAGACCCAGTGTCCAAATTTCAACCCTAAATCCACTAATTTATTTCAAAGTGCCAGTGATATAGGGATGATGTAGGATCTACTAATGATTCAAACAACATCAGGTAAATATTATAACTCCCAACCTTTTAATCTGTTAGATGTGAAATGAGGAAGCAAGTGACACAGCACTTGTACATGGGCTAACTGGGGAAATTTCATGGAATGAAGGTTGCGGTCTCCCATCCAAAGTAATAGATACCTATTTAGAATTTCAATTACTGCTGTTCATACCTAGGGGAAATATGTAAGTTTAGTCATTCTATCTTTTTATTACAAACAGCTAAGTTAGATAGAAATACTATAGATAGTCAGACAGGAATAGGCCCTTATAACTCAATACAGAAGACAAGAATACTTTAAAACTGTGAGGGAGGCACATGCTTTGAGAGCCAGAGCTAAAGACAAAATAGAATTACTCCACCCAAGTACTTCCCCTAGGGATAAAGAGTAGTGATTAATATTGTAAATAGGTATCAATCACATTGGGTGTTGAGTCAGGAAAACCCATGACCACTCCCTCTAGGAAAGGCCTTGATTTCATATATACTTGCTACATTATTTGCTTCCTTATTTGATCCCCATTTAATCAACATTACCTGAGCAATCATACTCATAATTTTATTGGTTGATCATAGTTTGTCCCACTTCATGCTCACCTTGGAATTTCCCATTGGATCAATGTTACCTAAGTGATTGCACTTGTATTATTATTTGATCATTGTTTTTCCCACCTTGGACACATCTCACCTTGTGGTTTTTTCTATAAAATTCCCTTGAAAAGTAGGGTCCTTGGTGCTCATTCATGACACCTTCTGTCTCTCTTAGAAAAAAGCTTTCTTTCCCAATAAATATATCTTTCTTTCCCCAATCACCAGATTGTTTTTTAACCTCCATCATTCTTACACTTTATACTTTGATTTTAGAGAACATAAGCTCATACTGAATATCTAACAGGTTGAGACTTTCTTTCCACTATATCATTTTATCTTGTGGTCTGATCTGTAACAAATACATCTCTACCCACAGTTGTATCTGTATTGATTCTGACAGTCTATAATATTTCTACCTAATGCAACTATCTGTAATGCCAACACCACAATTAATTAGGCTCATTGCTAACAGAGGGGACTCTGTGAGTCTACTGTGGCACAAGAACCATAGGTTTCCTACAAGTTTTATGCTTCAGGAACAAACTTGTCTGTAAAGGAAAATATCTTAACTTTTAATGTTCTACTTTGCAGTATTAGTTATACTTCCAGACTCCCAATATCATCACAAGTCTTTTATTCCAGTTGCCCTGTTTACTTACCTGGATCCTGCTCTACCTGCTGCCTGAGCTGCTGCTGTATCTCCAGCAGCTGGGCCTGATACTTTTGCCGGTTACTGGAGCTGATGCTTGCAGCTTGCAGACTGTCCTGGATGCTAGTGAGGGTACTGCTCTGGAGGTCCAGAATCTGCTTCAGCTTCAGCTTCAAATTTTTCATACCGGCCAGCTGGGTTTGTTGCTGAAACTCCACAACCAACACCTGAGGGTCAAGTTCACTGCAAGATGGGGTGCAGAGGAGTGAGCTCACTGTCCAATCCTTCATACACACCCAAACAAGGAGACTCAGAGCATCCTGTTTGGGTCACACATCCTAGAAACCCATAGTAGGCATGTATTTGAGAGGGGAATTATGTTGAGACAGGACATGGATGAACAAAGTGCCCTCATGTCCCTGGTGTCCAGCTCACTCCTAATTTTCATAAAAACAACATGTAAATGTAACAAGTAATCCCCTAAATTTCCTGATAAACTTTTGTTAGGACTATAGAGACTGAAGGCCACATAGGTAGGGATAACAGTCTACTGAGCTTTACAAAGATCAATAGAGAAACTTTAAAAGCAGTTTCGGCCTCTAAGCACTAAATGCACTTTCTGCCTTTACAGGCTGACTCTGAAGTTAGGCAATCAGAAGGACAAAGGGGGGGGGGTACAGGAAAACTAGACTGAGAGGGGCACCAGATAAAAATTACCCTAAGAATTTATAAAGGACTGTTAACACTGGGGAAGTTAGAAATAAAAAACAAACAAACAAAAAAAAAAAAACCACCTCCTCTCACCCATCTGACAAAGTGTAAGGAAAATATGAGACAAAACAGATGCATAAAGACATACACACACACAGAAACACACACAGAAACAACTATGCATATACAAATGTACATATGTTCTCATTTTAACATCAATATATATTGTGCCAGATACACATATGTATATGTTTCCCCTTTACTTAATCATTAATTTAATCATTACTTTAATCATTAAGTAATCTGCCTTTATAATATACTCTCCCCCTTCACTTATTCATTACAAAGAGATAAGAAGAAACTGAATGACAAGAAGGAATGTAAGCAGACATACCTAAGATCAAATATAGTCATGAGAACAGATCAGACACTGACAAATGTCTATTGGCAGGATAGGAAACACACAAATCCTCAATAAAAGAAGTCAAGGATAAGAGCTGGGTTGTGTCACTGTAAGACTCTAAAATACTGAAAAGTTGTTCATTCATGGGGAAAACTGAATAAATTGGTTTAGACAGCTGCTTTTTTCGACCATGAGGGTAATCTTGACCACAGTCTCCCAGATCCAAGAGTTTTCCACTTATTTATATTAATAATTATTTTGGATGCTGCATGAGAAATAAATCTTAACAGTTAACATTTTAAATACACACACATACAATCTTTGACCAAGGAAAAGCTCCAAAGGTATAATACATAAAGAGTAGACTTTATTTATGAATTCAATGTTTATATTATCTTGATCGGGTAAAAATCTAGATGGAAACACCATCAACTTCAAACTCATTTTTGCTCATATCAACTGAATGAACTTAGCCCACTGTTAAGCTATGTGAACCAAAAACCATATGCATTAATATCTTAAGTGTCTACTTATCTAAAAAAGAACCAGAAGTTTAGAAAGGCAAAAATAAAAGAAAAAGAAGTTTGATATGAGCTCAAAAGCTTTAAGATAGAAGCAGTAGATACTTTAGTCAGTTTAAATGCACAAACAAGAAATATGGAATACACAATACAATGATTTTTAAATCACAATGCAATCTTAGACGTATTGACCAAGTTGCATTGGACAGTGATCTGCTTTAATTTTAGTTTTCTAAGTATGAGTATACTACTCAGAACTCTTTCTAGAGGTGAACAAGTAGTTCCTTTCAGTTCTTTCCTTTTTAATTTTAATTATGTATTTACTTGTGAATCACAATAGAGATCTTGTAATAAGTAACACCAATATGAATCAGAAAGGAAAGAAAAAAAAACCTTTTATATTGCAAAAGCAAGGACTGCTTATGAAAGGATTAGAATGCTGGTTTGTCTTAATTTTGAAAGAGCTGTTACCACAGTGCAGGCCTCTGGACTTTCTTTTAGAGTTGCTACTGGAAAGGGCTTCTTTGCCAGCCTTTCTCATGTGTTAGAGTTGCTACAGTAGACTGCTTCTTTTCTCTTTTTTTCTTTGCTTTGCAGTGCAGTTTTTTAAACCCTCTATGAGTTCCTTACATATGTCATAGGCCCCTAGATACAAAGATCTTTAGGATTAATATAGCTGTTCCATATAAACCCTTTATTGTGTTTTCCTGATTTGTTGATAAAAATTGAAAGATCTATGTGCTAAGAACAAGGACACTTATTCTGGATACAGACAGGTCTCAGTATAATTGACAAACCTAGATAAATTATAGCAAAATGAGACAGACTGAGGTCTAACCTCAGTTTTGATTGGGCTGCACATGCAGTGTGACTCCAAGATAAGACAGGTGGCTCAGGCAGTCTGACCTCAGGTCTCCTAAGAGGATCTGACTTTATCTTTTTTCTTAACATTTTTTTCTCTGTTTCTCCTGTTTTCCAAAATACGCAAGGGAGATCTTCAGTAGATTACATCTTCATTAGTGATAGTTCAATGTCTGTCCCAAAATGATATCTTTAGAATTTATGTTATAAACTTGAGACCAATTTAAAATAAAAGATATCAAAAGGCTTCTGTTTATACAAGTATAAGATAATAAATAAAGAAACTAGGCTTCAAACTTGGTCGTATATTAAAGAGAGATACTAAACAGTCATCCCACAAGATAGTCTGTAGCTGTTCTGTATAGTAAGATATTTTATTCTACTTGGGTAAGGTGATACATGTATGTAAACTAAGGATTTGTGAGATGCAGCAGGAAAGGCAATGCAAGTTCAAGGACATCCTGGCCTATATTGTGAGTTCAAGGTGAATCTGAACTACACAGTGAGAGTAATACTGGCTCAAAGAAACAAACAAAAAATTTTTCACTAAAATAAGAATGTAATATGCATTTAGAGATAAAAGGCGCTATGTCAATTTTGATTAACACAGGTATCACTTTATAAAGTGATCTCCAATTACTTGGCATCTATTGAGAGTCTAGAGCTGCACATGTAAACTATTATGGTTCAGTGAGGTGTCACACAAACTAACCAACCATGCTTCTTTAATTCAGAAAGGATTATCTAAGTCTTGGGGGTCCTGGTTAAGGATCTGGAATTGGGCATCCTGGATATTTCCACAATGATTCTTATAGTAATGGCAATATAACTTTATGAGAAAATGTTACATTTGCTCCCTGGAAAACTTTATGACCGTTATCTGTTAATAATTGGTAAAAATTTTTCTTTGAAGAAAGGAATGGTTTAAAAATAATTCTCTACCCATACTTTATATTTCAAAGTGCTTGACATCTAGATTAGTTAAATGTACTGTTCTTACTAAAACAACTCGTATGGCTGACCTTCTGGATATCCAAAAAACAGGTTTAGAGACCAAACATAACTGGGCTAAAAAGACAGCCAATATTTTGTCACTGGCCCTCCAAGTTCAACAAAGATCCAGGACATGATAGATAGTACATCTTTATAAGATCTTATGACTCTGGTGAGTCACCCAACTTCCTGAGCAGAGAGATTTTTAGATTCCAGAGGAGACGACTCAACTAATGTTCATTGTGGTAAAAGAAGGTCACCAGAGAGAAAAGTATCTCTCATGCTTCCAGTGGAAGCTGTAAAGTCATCACTCACTCTGATCATCAAGCAAGATCATCACTCAATCTGGCAGATGACAATGATGGTGGCGCTAAGAGGGTCTGCATGTGGTCCAAAAAGTACTCCCTGGAGAACTTTAGCTCACCTTGATATATATAGCAAAAGGTTAATTTTGATTAATTATGTGTCACACTTTATCTTGATCTGAAATACTGCACCAAAAATATAACAAGATATAATAATAAATAATAAACTGGGGTGAATATATAAAGGAGGCTCTGATTACTACATTGGACCATACTGACAATCTCTAGCTACACCTATAGCTTACCATTATTATGGTTCAATGAGGCTAAAAGTCACAGTGGTAGCTATAGCAGGTCAGTAAAACTTTTTAAATCTAGTAGTTAAAACTGTCCTTCAAAAATAATGATCTCAATGTTTTACTGCTAAAACTAATAAAGCATACGTACTCCTACATAAAGAGGTTGTCTTTAAATGATTCACATTACATGAAAAAGGCCTTAAAGCAAAAAACAAAACAAAACAAAAAACTCCAAAATAATCAGTTATGAACAACTTCCTAACTGCCAGAAAAGGGGAGACTCCATCTATTCATAAAAGAAAAACAGTGTGCACAGAGGTTCCATGGGTAGTCAGACAGCTGGGACAGCAGCAATCAGGCAGCTTCTCTCTCCAGAGGGCCCATGACTGAGAAACAGGGCTGGGTGAGGGAGGTTTCACTCCTGAACCAGGTTTACAGATTCTTTATTAGGTTCAGAACTAAGTGCATCCAGGGAAGTCATAACAGCACCCAAGTTTGAAAGTATAATTACAAATTAGGCACCCTGGAATTCTAGAATTCTAGCTTTCTTCACAGATCAAGAGCTTTATTAACCATATCTTCAGTCTCTGTGGATTTCTAGGCACCTGCCCAGTTCAGAGTGATTCAAAATGCCCCAGTTCATGCTACTTGGATCTTAGGGTAGAGAAATGAAAAAAAAACGATATTTTCATAGGAGCACACAGATCAGAGCAAAAGGAAGGTCCTTACATCTGTCAAGCAAAAACATCTCATCCTGTTGACAGGGTTGTTAATGGACTAGGATTTGCCTCACAGAATCCTGACCATGACAATTTTTTCTCTACTCAGTGGGAAACTCAGATAAAATCCACTTGAGATATCAATTCTTTCTGAATTATCTTTATTCCATGGCTATTTTTTTCTTTGCAATTTAAGTGATGTTCCCGGATGTAGACTTGCATGTAATGAAGAGACTTTCACTTTTCTAGTAGAAACTGGTCACTGTGCTTTCTTCAGGGAAGAGGAACAGGTAGAGTAGATCAGGATTATTTATTTTTAAATCAGTAAGAACAATGTAAATCACAGGGAAAATTATATGGTATATAAACTATATCTCAATAAAAGTTAAAATTGACAAAATAAAGAGAAGAAGGAAGGAAAGAGGGCAGAAAGAAAAAATCAAAGTGTTCTGAGCCCCAAGAATAGTCTTCTTCTCTGCCCCCTTTCAACTTTGTGGGATGTGCCCTGGGCCTGCCTGGTCTTCAACTCATCTTCAGACTAGTTCAAATGCCTATGTCCTTCCAGATCCTCTGGACTCCAAGCCTTGTTATAATCTTTGTCATTTCTGACACAGTCCCAGCTTCAGCCCCAATCTTAACAATGGCCCCTTTCCCAAATCTTAAGCTTGACCCTCGTCCCATTCAGACACTGGCCCTTGTCCATCTTCTATCTTTCATCCTGCAGCCCTAGCCTCAGACTAAGCTTCAGTCACTGTTAAAAATTGTAGTCCTGGTGGCTCAGCCCCTGCCCAGAGGGACTGAGTAGCAGCACCCACCTGCTGTGGCCCTTCAGCATTTGCAGTGTGTGACTCTCAGCCAGCAGCTGTTTCTCCAGCTTCTCAGTAGTCAGCATAATTTGCGTCATCTGGTCCTTCATGTGCGATATCTGGTTCAGGACCTGCACCAGTGAACAGGAATGTGGGAGCTCTGTGAACCATGCAAAAGCCTGTCAGCTTCCAAAAGCCTGACCTTCATTCCTGTTACTCCGGACACTTTCTGGTCAAGAGCCACTCTCCATTCCCTAAGGACACTCACACACATATTTGCACACAGGTACTGCTTAGCACATGATCTGTGTCCTGCATTCACTTTTCTCCATCACTGCACAGTTTCAGTCTTCCTGTCTCAGGCCCCAGGAGGATCATGGTTGGCCCCATATGCCATCCATCAGCAAGTACCCACAGCCACCCTTTTCCATGGTCCCTGACTACTTTCCTAATGGTGCCACTGTGGTCCCATCTTCTGTTTTATCCTACCCAGTGTCCTATACTTGGTTCCTCACAAGCTCTGTCCCAACCTTGTCCCATGTTGTTTATCCTCTACAACAGCCTAAGGCAGCCTTTCCAAATATGTCTTCTCTGCTCATCATCCTCCCGGTCCTCCTCCTGTTCTCAGCATAGCCCCCAGGCCCAGGACTCAGTCATCCCGACTTTGCATGTGTTCTTCTTCCTATGTGGCACCCACTGTCCGCTGGGCCATACTCCAGGGCTGGTCCTTTCTTGAAAGCCTTGAAGCAGCACTGGAGTGTCTTTCCCTCCAACCACATCTAGCACAACATGCTCTTGCTCTCTCCTCTCAGCATTCCAAAAGGATCTTAGAGGAAGGGAAGAGATTGGAGAGATAGGGGCTGGGAAAATAAAAGGATGTCCAGATAGACAATGAATGCTGATCTGTGGATGAGTGAGCCTCATAGATGAAGAGCTCTGCTAGAGCCTGGGTTTCTCTGGCATTGTTTGTATAAAATGAACTTTGGAGAATGGATAAACAATTGTGCCCCAGCCATTCAGAGGGTGCAATTCATACACTCAGCAACAGGGACAAATATCAGCTATATCACACTGCGTGAAATAAACCAGAGTAGGGTACCCTAGACTACATTAGGCAGCACTATATTTCTGGGAACCTGTGATTTTCAGACACTGAGGTCTGGATGTGGGAATGACTGCAGAAGGACATGGGGGAGTTTTATGATGGTATTGAGAAAGACCTATGTTGTGCTTGTGGTGGTTACAGGACTGTATATATTTGTTCTAAATGAACAGTAGAGGAAAAGATGAATTTTTTACTTAATTTTTGAGACATGGTCTCAGGGTATAATTCAAGCTGGCCTGGAACTCACAGCAATTCTCCTGCCTCAGTCTCTCAAGTACTGACTAAAGGCATGGGCCACCAGGCCCCATTGAAAAGGGTGAACGTTACAATATATGTATTACATCTCAACAAATAAAAAACACAACATGAAATTCTAGAAACCTTCCTATACACAAATGTAATATAGAATGTTTTTATAAGCTCATGCTCTTACCCTGCTTTTCATTAGTGTACTGATTAAGAAATTATTTCTTAAGCACTTACTATGTGTTAGGTTCTGTACTAGAGAATCAGGTAAAAAACTTTCAAGTTTGTTGGATTCCAGAGCATTTATACTAAATAAACAAGGTAGATTGCAATAATGACAAATGCTGTGAAGAACATAAGACAAGTACTGAGTCAGGTAGAAAATATCACCTGAGTCACGAGGATGAGACACAGCTAGCTGTGAGAAGTTGAAGGAGGATGCCAATTGGATCAAAAGCCACATTCAGAGGCACTGTGGTAGATGATAATGTCTAGTATTCGAAGACCAAAAGGAGAAAAGCAAGAAAGATCGCTCTGCATTGGTTTCTGTGGTTTGTCATTGGTAAAGATGGTTGTCAACCTCAAGTAAAAGTTTAAGTGAAGAGCAGTGCCTTGAATCATTGGACCTGGAGCCATTCAACTTACTAGGTCTGGGACCTTCAACAATATATTTAAGAGATAAGATGTCTTCAGAGAAATGGTGAAAATCCTAGCTCCTACCCCTAGCTGTTCAGGCGCATTCTCAGAATGACCCATGAAAAGTGGAAAGCGTGGATACACAACCAAGAAATGACTCATCCTTCTGTGCCAGATGTATGGTTCAGCATACAGTGATGAAAAGAAGTAATGGTAATGCATCCTTCAGAAGTTGTATATGTAGGAGATGTTCCTAAGAGATATCCCTGGAGCCCTGAGAGATCTATAAGTACAACTCAGGATATCTACAATCTTCCAAGAAAAAAATGAAATTCTTTTTTTCACTAATCCTTGACAGAAATTAACTTTTGATGTGCACATGAAAATAGACCACAACCTTTTACATTGGTGGTAACTATGGCTTTGTCACCAGTAGAAATGACAGGTATTCTCATGTCTTTTCACAGTAGTTGGGAATATTGCAATCTGTGTTTCCTCTGCCCTAAATTGATGTGAGGGATTAAATCTGCCACTATGTCTAGGTATTTAATGTGTGATTAAAGAAAGGCGTACTATACCTTTGTATCAGAAATTTACTCTTGAAAAATCTTTTGATATCTGTATCTTAAGGCAATTTTTATCTTCTGTAGTTTTGAACATTTCTTCTCCATCCACACTGACTACCTCACTGTCCCCAAGCATGTTACTGCATTCACTCCTTGGAACCCTGCCATCCAAGGGTTCCTCAGTGGGAACATGTCCCCAGACATTTGCTTCACTTATCCTCCAGGGTCAGAGGTCTCTGCAGCATCCTTAGAAATTATATGACCTTGGGAAGCTGCCCTCCTCCCTTGCCTCCTTCTGTGTCACTATATGACACAGTAGATATTTCTTTATGGGCACTTTCTCTTTTCTTTCTTTCTCTTTTTTTCTTTTCATGGCCTCTTTGTCCTTCCTCTAGAAGGTGTAAGCTGTTCTCTTCCTGCTGTCTTCCCACCTAGGATGGGCCTGGCCCACATTCAGCCTGATGAATGGCTGTGAAGAGGAAGCTTCCCTACTCTGGTGACACCCAGTCTTGTTGTGAAGCACCACCTCCATCCCTTCATTTCTTTGGACCTCACATCTTGAATTGTATACTATATATCTCAGTGCCAACTGGGGTATAAATTATACACTGTGCCCAATGAGACCATAGGGCACACACTCCATCTATTGATGGTGAAGGTCAAAGGTATCCAGTGATTACAGCCCCAATCATACCTTCAGCATCTTCTCAGTGCTGTTCTTCACCTCATTCTCCATCTCTTCTATCCAATTTCCAGTGACGAATCTCAAGTGTTTCTTGGGTAGCTGTTTACTCTGGGAGCTGTTGTCCTGCTGTCCATTCCCTTGGGCTGCACTCATGGTGACCAGCAAGAGGATGAGGATATGCAGAAGCATTGCTCTCCCAGACAGCACCTGGACCCTTAGCAAAGGAAAGATGAGCCTACTCAGATTCATCACTCTATAGCCTGACTGCTACTCAGTCCTTTTCCTGGGATACACAGTGTGGCCTCTGTTCTCAAGAAGATATGTGCTCAGAGCTGCTCCAGCTACAAAATGCTGTGTGGCCAGCTCATCTGCAGCTGTTTATACTGAGAGTATCTCACCTGCAGGGCTCCAAGCCTTTGTTTCCATCCCCCACTGTTGTATCTCACCTATATGCTTTGGTCCCTTCATTCCTCTCCATCTTGCCCCCAAGCAGTCACACCAGATACTCTGCCCACATTTCCCCAGAGGCTTGATTGTCCATTGTTAGCCTAGGCTTCCCCAGAATGGTAGAAAGAGGACATGTACACACACGCACAATACACTCACAAGTCCCGTAGCTTTAACTCCAGATTATCAGACCATTTTTCCTAGCAGTGTTTCTCCTTCCTCCCAGTCCTGACCACCAAGGACACATTCTCAAGTACAAACTCTAAGGCTCAACCTTCTCAGCCACTTTATCTTCCTCTTTGGGTTCCCTGTTAGCTTGGAACATCCCTGGGCATCACGGGCAGAGAAAAGTAAAGGAGGGCAGGTTGATGCTTAGAGAGGTAGCCCAGCCAAGTGTTTCTGGAGACTCAGAAGTGGGTGAATCTGTGAGAACCTGGCTGCTGTTTCTATACTTTCCCTTGAGAGTCTGGGAGTACCTTATGCCCCTGAGTGGCCTTAGCCAGGTTGACATGACAGTGATGGGAAGTTGTTTTGTGCTGGAGTGTGTTGTCCCCGGGTTGAAGAAAGGTAATGAGTCATGGGGAAGAGAGTTGGGTTACAACAGAATGTTGGTCAGGCCCTATCCTTACAATCAGAGCCACTGGTCCTCAATCCTCCCCACTGTGGGCAGGAGAGCTCACTAGGCAGCTTCTTGCCTTGGGGCTCCAACCCTAATTTGTAAATCTTTGGAATCTCATCTCTTGTCACCATGCTGGTCATACACTGCATGTGTATCATCAGCATAGGAATGAGGGATTTGCAGTTTGCTCTTCAACCCCCAGATCCTCCCAGTTGTGTAACTTTGGACATGTCCTGTACCCTCTTTAGGACTTGGTTTGTTCTTGAGTACAATAACTTATCACACTTTGTAGAGCAGGAGAATAATTGAGATAGGTTAATGCAGCCACCAGGTGAATACAGAGTGAATATTTTCTCTTCTATGAATTTGTCTCTCTTTTCTGGCTTTCTCATTGGGTCTGTGGTAGCTATACAGGAGGTATTGAGGAGCTGGAATTTGGCCTTTGGACTCTGTCACCTTTTGTCCCCTCATTTCTCTTTCTGCTTATTTTCCCTGGTAGAAGTTGACTACTTTTCAGTATTGGCAATTTCCTTATGTTTTCACAAATCCTGATGAAATTTTGAATGGGGCAAGCTGCATGGGGACTGCAGGGAGACAACTGGCTCCTCAGAGAATAGAGGACACTATGCCAAGTGCACGGCTCTGGATAAAAGAGCAACTGCCAATGACCTCAGTCTCCCTGTTCACCAGGCCTCAAACAGCTCACATTCTTGCCCAGTTCTCTCACTGTGAATGGGATTCTGAGAGGTGAGAGAAAATGTTGACCAGTTCATATTTTGTGAATGGAGGCCCTGGCCTCCACTTTTATCCTGGCCCATCTATCAAAGAGAAAACTGAACCTAACTCAGAACTGCTGAGCAATTTGCCCAAGGTCAGATACCCTGGAGGGCTTCACCAGAAACTAGGTAGAGGGGAGGCCCAGCCACACTGGCTTCCCTGCCAGGTCCCAAACCCTGTCCTGGCAGTAAGCAAGGACCTGGCCCTCTCAGCTTTGGCTTTGTGTTCATGGCTGGAGATAGAGTTCACATCCTGACATGAGCATAGGTGTCTTTGTGGCACACAGATGACAATGGGAAGTTCCCAGAATAAGACATGCATTTGATCTCTCTGATGGGAAAATAAATGAATGAATAGGTAAATGTGATTTTCTTTTCTGCACAAGTTTGTGGAATCAATGTGACACACAGAATTTCACAAATTACTTGTTGTATAGTAGAGGACACAGATTTTCTTCTGAAGGAGGGATTTAGAATGGACCAAAAGTAATTTTGTGCCCAGTGGGCCACTGACCTAGGAAGTCCTCATGTTTTTCTGGCACCTGTACCCTCTTTAGGCTTCAGTGTATTCTTGAATGAGTACAATAACCCATCACACCTGGCACCTTTTCTGCACCACCTTAGTCTCTGGACCTTTGCATGTGCTGTTGTCTGTTCAAAGCCCTGCTTCCCAAAAAGTGGCCCTCCTTCTTTTGCTGCTCCAGCTACTACGGCTACCAATGGTTTATCTCAATGCTTAATGTCTTCAAATGAAATATTTGGGGCTTATGGAAGCCACAAGTTTAGAGTAGCACAGATACAAAGTTCTCCTTGTGTTTATCATGTTGTCATCAGGTAGAGGGCAAACTTGGGTCCTCTCTCATCTGTCACACCTGGGCATCCCTTGACTCTTCAGATGCTATCCCCAGCATGATGAATTCAGGAATCTATGTTTCTCTGAGGGATAGCTTTGAGTGCCAAGTGGAACCTTCAAAATATTCACACTCCTTGTATACAGTTGGGATACATCCATAATATACTTCAATTTCTTTTTGATTCCTTTTCTGTCTTCTTCCTCTACCCCAACTGTCAGGCCTGACTTGAAAGACTTTCACCCTGCCCACTACAAACAACAGGAATCTAAGTGGCCCTCAAAAAAAAAAATTAAGGGCCATAAGGAAATTTAAGACTAGACTGGCAGTCATCCTGATGCCAGCGGTAAATATATGTCTGCACTGTCTTTGCAGTTTTGACTTCAAATATTCCTTCCAGATTCTTTGAGACTGTGACTCCTAGTCCTAAAACCCTATACTTACTTAGCTTCCCCTCCAGATATTTTGATATCACTCCAATTTCATTCTGCCTGTACATAAGTGGAATAAAATCTAATCTTTCTCAGGGTCTTAATTTCTAAGTTTCCATTCATGATTTATCATTTGGTGTCATGACTCAGATTTGATAAGGATTTCTTCTTAAGAGGATAATGCACCTTATCTCAAGCTTTTTTCCATTGATTCTGGACTTTGCTTCAGTATTCCATGCAGCTGTCTCTCCCACACTGACTACCTGGGATCTGGTAAACTCTTTACCTTTCTGGACTTCTAAAACTCTCTCAATTTTTAAGACCCCACCATCACTGCTGTCAACTGCTGATTACACTTGAAGTTCTGACTGTTTAACCATCTCTGCACCTCTATGCTGTTGATGGCTCCCTAATTCTACTCTCCTCATCCCTTGGGACAGAGAAAGGCTAGCTCCTCCTCTCTGCCTTTAAACATGGCACTCATCATCAGCACTTTTTGGGGAGACTGCCTCTGCATGGTGATTGATCAGTTGCAGTGATGTCTGCCTTGGTCATTCACCCATGTTCTCTTATGGTCTTGGGCACAACTGAAGACATTCAGTATAGGCTCTGGTGCTGCTTATTTTGTCACACCAGGTATGATTGCTACCTTTCTCTGCTCTTATAGAGAGACTTACTGGGGAAACTTTCTCCTCCTATTCCTCACTTTTAGCCTGTCTCAACAAATTTAAAATATATGAAGCCCAAGCATCTAGTATCTCCATGTAATACTACATGGCCAAAGAATAGATCCTTCCATTCTGTGGGAATTAGACAATTACTGGTAAAAGCTAAAAAAGAGGTCAAAAATCCCCTTACTATAGGCATTCTTTATCTTCCATAACATTTCCACTTTGTGCACTCCTTTTGATCTCTCTGAAATCCTTATTTCTCTCCCATCTACAATCACTTCATGAGAGTTGAACAACAGATCCAACTGATATTGCTCTGCTCTGGCAGCATCCAGGGCCTCCTAGCCCTGGAGTGGCTCATTGGGTCCCTCCTGCTGATCCAGCCCCACAGCCTATATCCAGTTCTTCACCATTCCTGGAGCTTCCCACAGTTGCTACTATAGCTCCTTCCCCTCCTGTAGGCCTCCTGCTGATCAGGTACTTGTTTCATATACTACACCCACTACACCTGACCCCATTTCACCTGACACCAGGTCTGAATTGCAGTTTGGTGCCAAAACATTGTCACCTACCTACCAGTTCCCACTCTGGAAGGTAGCAGAGACAGAGAGAATTGTTAGGATTCATGTTTCTTTGTCTTTGACAGATCTCTCCTAAATTAATATTCCTGTTTTCCTTCTCCTCAGATCCCACCCAGCATATCTAACACCTAACTCATTCATGTAACTTAATCTTTGTCTCTACTCTTTCTTTAGAAAAGTTGGAATGAGTGATCTCACCGGTTCAACTTTATAGGAATGAACAACACCTGTATCAGGTGGATTGGTCTGTAAGAATGACAACTGTTCCATGGCAAAACCCTAATTAGAACTGTCAGGCAGAATCTGAGGACATGGCAGGTCAAGATTGCATAGTTTCTTAACTAATAGAAGGACTCCACAGGGCAGAATTTAAGGTAGTCAGTTTTGGTAAACTAAAGGGAATCAGTCAGAACAGGGGTGAAAACCAAGCTCAGTTTATGGCTGAGCTTGGCTGCTGCTCTTATATGATACACAACATTAGATCCTGAAAGACGACTTATCCTAAAGATGCATTTTTATTACCTAACCAGCACCAGACATTCATAAAAAATTATAGAAACTTAAGGCTGACACTTAGACCCCACAACAAGAAGTTATCAATTTAGTATTTAAATTTTTTAATAATTATAAGATTAAAGTGCTCAAAAGCAGTGCATTTCTGAGCTGCACATGTTAGTCTCTGCTGGAAGAAACCCTGTCTGGAGCAGACCCCCAACCAATGCATAAAAGCATTTCTAAGGCTTTTATCCCAAGGGCATTCTTCCAAGGTCATGGTTCAAATATCCACAGAATGATCACAGGGCTAAGGAATGCCCACAGCCTAGAATTTCCCCTAAGCTGTGTCTTTCCTCTGGTGGTCTCCACTGGAAGTCAGATTGCAAAATGCTGGCAGCTGTGCCTCCTGGTTCTGGAGAATTACCCCATGAACTCTCTCCAATGGACCCTTTAGCAAACTTTCTTGGCCTGGTCACTGAGGAATAACTAGGCTTGATACCTGAAGAGGCCCTCTGGAACATTTTGAATGCCAAACTCTGGGTGACTCTTACAGTATAGGGTAAGTTCTTCTCAATTTTAATCAATATGAGTGTTTGTTACTCTGCTTTGCCTTCCTTCCAAGGACAAGATCCTTGGACCCAATTATTGTTGTAGGCACTGACAATAAAGTCTACAGACTCTTAACCCCCACCCAATCTGGTGCCAAATGGGTCAGTACTTTTTCCCTTTTCTTGTGTTTACCACAGCCCTAGTTAGAATCCTTCCCTCTCCTTATCTATGACATCTGACCCAGTTAACATTCTTTTTCCTTTCATCGCATCCTAGAGTTGCTCTCTTGCAGCTTATTTTTAATTATATTTACAAAACTTTGCATTTATCTCATTCCTTGCTGAAATGATCCAGCCCTCCCTTAGCCAAAGATTGTTGGCTCTGTATTTCTATGCCTACAGTAACCTATATGGCCATTTCAGTCCTTCCCCAGGTCTGGATTCCATGTCTCTTCAGAATTTTCTTTCATTCTTAAAGGATTGTGTACAAGTGATTACCAACTGGTAAATATTGGCTCTGATTTCTTTTCAGTACAACCCTGATCCTCAAGATTTCTCTCCCAATTAGGTTCCCAAGCTGCTCCCAGTTGTCATGCTTGAAAGATTCATGAAAATCTTCACTCTGTCTCCTACTCCTCTCTCTATATAACAAAAATATATAGGAACATCAGGTCTGACCTTATCTTTCTTTATGGCAGAGTAGCACTCTTGTGTGCAAATCCAATATTATATTTATCTGTACACCTGCTTCATGTGCATGTAGGCTACTTCCAAGATTTAGATCTTATGAACTGGACTGCTCTAAGTATGGTCATTCATGTGTCACTATAATATGATTGTTGTTAACTCCTGAAGAAAGATACCTAGAAGGAGAATAGCTGTGTGAAATGGAATTTATATTCATTTTTTGAGAAATATCTATACTAATTTCCACAGTGATTACATTAGTTTATATTCCCCTCAACAATGTAGAATTATAACTCTTCTCCCAGCCTCACTAGTATTTGTTATTTGATTTCACGATGATGGCCATTCTTTTGGGTTAAGAGAGAAACTCATTGTTCTGTAGTGGCCAACGATTTCCATTACTTCTTTAGGCATTTATTGTCTATTTTTACTTCTCCTTTTGTGAATTGTCTTATTCATTTCATTTGATTACCATTTTTTGGTGTTTTTGAGATGAGATCTCACTGACTTTTCAAGGTTCACTTTGAACTCACTGGCGTACAACTTTCAAGAATCCTATGCCTCACCCTGAGTGCTAGACTATAAAGATGTTCACCATCATGCCTGGCTGCCATGTTAAGTTCATATAAAATTGTGAGCACAGGGCTGTTTGCTGAAATGACAAGACAATACATGAACCTTTCTCCTCCAGCCCCTGCCCCTGGTCTGTAATCACATCAGATCTGTTCTTCCTGATTGACCTTTAATGTGCTTTTCCCTGTACATTATCTGCTTACTGCTGCCTTCCTGATAGCTCAGGAGAAATTCCAGGTAGGGCCCCAGGGCCATTCCAGAATCAACACTGATGACAGAAGAATGAGTAACTTTGGTCAGTCAGGCTGGTTCATGTGTCCAAGCCAGTAGTTATGAAAAGGAGTCAGTGTCATAGGACTCAAAGCAACTGTGTATTAGGGGGATGTTGAAGTGGACCATGGGGGGTAGGAGGGGAATGGAGGTTGCTGGTCACAAGATACCTGCTGCTTCCCATTGCCTCCCACTCTGGCCACTCACCAAGTGAACCCAGTTTCTTTGGTTGGTTCAGTTTGATTCATGTTCAGCTCCTGTGATAGCTCGGACCCTGGAATAAAATCCAAGAAGCAAAAAATTAAAATTTAGGGAGCAAAGGCTTTATTTTAGCCCAGGCCTGGCAATGCAGCCTCCAGGAGCCAATATGGAAGATTACATACCTTACAGCTAAAGGGTTGGGTTTTTAAAACCGAAAACCACAGGAATGTTGCAAACTTTGACACAGTTTGATAACATCTTCGCTTCTTGGTATCTCTTGTAACTTACTTGTAGTTAAATGTTTCTTAAGGAACAGCATATTTTATTACAGATAGGCTGAAGGGAGTGGGGGGATTACAAGAAACTGAAACTTAAGGCTTTTTCAGGAAATGGAGACTTAACCTAAAAAGAATGGAGAGGGGAGGGGGCATTTACAAGGAGCTGAGACTTAAGTCTTTACTGGAAATGGAATTTTAATCTCTATTGAAATGGTGCATGCAGAACAGGAAGGACGAGGCACATTGGTTAGAACTAGGCTATAATATTCCCCTCTGATGTTGTGACTGAGGCCAAATCTTTGGCCAATTACTTAAGGATTTTGGGGAACAAGCTCGTATATCTCAGTCATCACAGAGATCCATGAGTGGATTTTTTGTGGGTTTTAGTAACAGCTCTGCCCATGAGAGCTTAAAGCTCTGAAGGACGTGAGAGCCTTTCAGTGTGAACCCAGGGTGGTCCAGAAAGACTCTGCCTTGGGCTGTGTAAGGACATGAGAGCATCACGTGAACCCACGGAAAGCGGGAGAAAACCCCTATTCCTGCTGCCCCCATACCTAAGGCTTTTGATATTCTTAGGCCTACCAATAAAGGAATAAATTGAACTTCCCTCTTTGAGCAGCCTGTAATGTAATCTAAACTAGGAATGGGGACAGGCTCATCCCGGGTAGGATATCCCTGAAGAGAGGTTTACTAGTGATAACAGGTGTAAGCTGTTGAGACCTCAGTGTCTGGGTCAGTCTGTATAAACACAAGGGAAAAAGCATTTTTAAGATTTAGGACTGTAGAGTGAGTGGTGGAGGGAAGATTTGGCACACTGGGTGGATTGGGAAGAAGCAGTCTGGAACCTGCATGAAATAGGCCCTGTTTGTAAATGGCATAGGTTGAGCCTCAATACACCCTAGAGTTTGAGGACTTAATATAGCAGCCTGAAAACTCAGGAAGAACTCTGTACATATGGCCTCTATGTCCACAAGTATAGAGAATGTCTTAGCTGAGACTTTTAGTGGGACTTGGACTCTGAGATGGACACCCATAAAGGGGACTGTTGTTGGCCCTGAGCCCCATCAGTCTTCAGCAGCAAGTTTAAGCAGATCTGATAGTGATGAATCTGGTAGTGTGGGCATTTCCTGTGAGGGCAGGAAGTTAGGATGGCTTACCCACTCTCTGGTGGCTAGGACAGTCCAGTAGCTCTGGGGTAAGGTTTCAAAGGAATACCAGAATGGTGCACTCTCTTGCCCAATGTCTTCTGCTGCATTTGAGGCATGGTCCATGGGGGGAAGCCCAGGCAGCTCCAACTTTTGTTGGTTTACCTGTCTCAGAGCTCCAAGTGTCACAAGTGTTATTGTAATCTTGCTGTTGAAAACAGGAAAAGCCATATGAAGGTCTCTATGAGGTTTGAAGGTCAAGTTTTGCCTTTTTGTTTGGAATTCGGACTACAGTAGAAGGTATCTGTAGAATTAAGTAAGTATGCAGGAGTCAAATATAATCAACAGGGTATTTATGAGTTTAGCAAAGGCTTCTCATAAGGAGGATAGGTCCAGAGAATTTTAGGAACTGACATATCATTTATGTTATATATAAGTATCTCTTTATTTTATTAAAATGTCTAATGCCATCTGATTTTTGGAGGATGGCCTGTTTAATTAATTTTTTATCTTTTTATTTAGGAGAGAAATCAGCTATGGTGTTATTTAATATCTCTATATCAGGCAATAGGACAGCTGTCACACATATCCCTGTCTAGTTAGTTGGAAGGAAAGTATAGGCCATATTTCCTCCACAAATAAATACTTGTCCTTCAGTGGGATAAAGGGAGGTAGTCCAGTTAACTATGGAACTACAATTAGTAAACACAGTGAACCCCACATCAATGTCGGAGGTATCATTATGAAAACCTCCTTGGAGACAGAGAGAGTCCTTGAAGCCTACTGGTTATACTCTAAAGGCGGGATCAGCACTACAATTTAAGGAATCTTGTTCCTCCATGGTGGTCAGAGAAACATTGGTGGGGATTGCAAGGGGCATGGGGGAGTCCTGTGCCATGAGTAACCAACAATCTTCAGCCAAAGTTGGGTTGGAAGCATTTAAGGCTTTTTGAGTGGCTTCTAGAATATCAGAAGTTTGAGCATTCAGATCAACTCCCCGTGATTTAGGCAGCATCAAGGGGTGGTAATGTATCTGGGGAGACATTATTTTTATTAGCTGTTTGACTCATTCCTCAACCATGAGTTCTCTGATCTTATCTTGTGGGCCGCCCCCATCAGACACATGTATAGGGGCCACCCTGCTCCAGCACACTGATTCACCAACCATGCCGTGACATGAGGCTTGGGCATACTTTGAATTTTCTATTACTGATGAATAGGTGGACTAATCACCTCTAGCACTTCCAGCCTTTGTCCTCATAAGCTCAGCAGTGAAGTAAGTTTTGCTATCCATGCCTATACATTTTTTTGTACAGAGTCATAGCAGGAGGAATGCATTTCTGAATAATAATGACAATTCTGAGGGCATGGTCCTGGCTGGCTGCCTGTGTTAGGTATCACACAGGGCTTTAACTTACATATCCACATTTGAGTCAAGCCCCTTGTAACTGAGGGTATAGCAACAAGGAATGCTAACTTGTCCCCACAACCTGTCCAAAGACTATATGTATATAATGTATGTATATAATTTATCATTTATATGGGAAGGATCATGATACTTTTTTCCTATTGTATGTATAATTACCCCCCCCCAGCTGGTGTCTTCACCTTTAGTATAGCCCCCTCTGCAATCACAGGGACTCCCATACAAAGATCTTAACAATTGTTCTTTGCTTACAGGGGGACCAAAGCCATCATGCAAGGTTGGCATCATTGTTATTAAAATCCCCAGCAGTGGGACAGAAGGAGCAAAAGCAAGCAAGCTAAAGCAGTTCATGACTGGTATAATCTAACTATGTTTAATCAGTTTTAACTTCAAGGGGTTACAAGTCTGTTGTATAGTCCACTGAGCATGTCCTAATTGTCCGCTGTTTCCAGTGGCTTTACATGAGTATGGTGAATCCATGCAGTTTTTTCTGCTACCTTGATGGCAGTGAGGGTACTGAGCACCACAGTGAAGGGTCCTTCCCAGTGGAGTTCTAGGGAGTCTTGATGGTGATGTTGCACCAGGACAGAAGTTCCTGGCTCAATGGGTGCTTTGAGTAGTGTCTCTGAAGGTGGGTCTGGGTGTTTTTGTCTAAACAGCTAGTGAATTGAGGCCAACACAGACTAGAGTGTCTGCAGGGACTTAATGAGATCTTGGTTAGTTATTTCAAATAATTTGTCTTCTGACAGTCTCAAGACCAGTAGAGGGGGCCTTCCAAACATAGCCTCAAAAGGGAAAATTCCAGAACATATGGGGTACATTTAGTTCTTAACAGTGCAAAGGGAAGAAGGCTCACCCAATTATTGCCAGTTTCTAAAGACAGCTTAGTTAAAACATCCTTGAGAGTTCAGTTCATATGTTCTACTGTCTAGAATTTTGTGGCCGATAGGCACAGTGAAGTTTCCCATCAATTTTTAATGCCTGGGCTAACTTTTGGATGACCTAGGCTATGAAAGCCAGGCCATTATTGGACTCCACTGACAATGCAAGGCCAAATCGAGGTATGATCTCATGCAGTAGCTTTCTGGCTACCACTAAGGCTGACTCAGACTTAGTAGGTAAAATCTCTACCCAGCCAGTGAAGGTGTCTACTAATACCAAGAAATAGTGGTGTCCTTGTAAACCAGGTTTTACCATGTCCGTAAAGTCTACTTCCCAGTGTTCTCCAGGGGCAGTTCCTCAGTGCCAGGTGGTCTCCAATGGGGAGCTTTTGGTCAGGTTGACTAACAAGCACTGCAGGCATCTGGAGCTCAAAGAGGCGGTCAGTTTGGAGAGTCTTGGAATGAAAAACCAAGTTCTGAACAATTCAGCAAGTTTAGTTGCCCCCCAAATGGGTGGTTTGGTGAGCCTGGTGTAGCAGCTCATGTCCTAATGCCTCAGGTAATAGCACTTGCTTGTCTGGTAATTGGTACCAAACTCCTGGGGTGAGGGCCTTAGCTCCAAGTTGAGATGCTAACTGCAGGTCCTTCTTTGTGTTGACCAGTTCTGATAAAGTGGGAGGAAACAACATCAGAGCAGTTACCTCCTCGGTTGGCCCCTCTGATGTAGTGGCTATTTTTTGAGTGGCCTGATCTGCCAAATTGTTTCCTAGGGTGATGGGGTCATCTCCTGTCTGATGAACCTTGCAATGAATAACAGCAACCCACTGAGGCAGCAAGACTACTGCCAGCAAGTGTAGGATTTGTGGAGCATTTTTTTACCTTAGTCCCAGCTGAGGTTAAGAGACCTCATTCTTGATAGATGGCTCCATATACATGTACAGTAGCAAAAGCATATCTACTGTCAGTATAGCTATTTACCCTCTTTCCTGTAGCTAACTTTAGCGCCTCAGTCAAAGCAATGAGCTTGGCCCTTTGGGCAGAAGTGCCAGGCTCAAACCACTTAACCCAGAGTACCTCTTTTTCGGTGGTCACTGCTGCTCCAGCCACTCGTTTGCCATCCTGGATGAAACTGCTTCTGTCAGTGAAATAGTTCTCGGCATTCCCTAAAGGCTGGTTGGTGAGATCAGCCCATAGGTTCTGCTGCAGTTTGAGGATGTCAGCACACTCGTGGAGAGGCACAATCTGAACCTCCAGATTGTCGTCAGGCATAAGGGTGGCTGGGTTTAAGGCTGAAGAGGTCTTGAATACCACTAACTCTGTCTAGAAGCAGGGCCTGATAGAATTCTGGTGTTCGAGAGCCACTTTTCGGGAGAGGTTTTGATAAGAGTCTCTAAACTGTGGGAGGTCACCACAGAAATCTTCTGTCCCTAAGTGAGTTTTTTTAGCCTCTCTAAGTAACATTGCCATAGCAGCTAGCATTCTCAGGAGAGGGGGGCATCCTCCTATCACCGGATCAAGTCTTTTGGAGAAGTAGGCTACAGGCCTCTTCCAAGGGCCAATGTCCTGGGTTGGGACTCCTTTGGCAATGCCCCTTAATTTATCTATGAACAAGGTGAAGAGCTTGGTAACATCAGGGAGTCCCAGGGCTGGAGCCTCTGTCAAGACCCGGTTGAGCTGCTGGAAGGCCCATTCACATTCATCAGTCCAGTTCAGTGAATTTTGAGTTTCTCCCTTAAGGGAGTCATATAGGGGGTGAGCTGTTTCAGTAAAATTTAGAATCTATAGCCTACAGTATCCAACTGCCTCCAGAAACTCCCATACTTTTTTTGTTTTTAGTTTCTCTCTCATAGAGCAATTCTAACACCTTGGTTATCTTCTTGATGGTAGCTTCTTGTAAATTCTCTCTGTTCTCAAAGATCTTTTGTGCTATCTCTATTAACTGGCTGAGGGGCATTTTCTCAAATCTCTCAAACTTTTGTAATTTTTGTCTAACATATGGGGCCTGACTGAATTGCAAAGAGAACAACTGGTGATACTGGGGGAACCTCCTTACCTCTGGTTGTCCAATCGGGGTGGGGCAAAAGGAAAACATGGTTTTGGCATTCCGGATCAGAGAGCAGGCTTCATCTGGATGGCACACCACTTTTTGTCCCAGGGTGCTGTGTGGCAGGCCATCATTTTACTGAAATTATAACTTAACAAAAAAGGGCTTTTTCATGGGTAACAAAATTAATTGTGCCACATAATCTCCTAGATGTCCACAGAACATGCAAGAACTTGTATTTTAGCTCTATAATCACTCACATTAGACACAATAGTTATTTCTTTTAAATTTAAATCCAGTACAAGATGAAATTTTTTTTACAATAAAAATCTCAACTCTGTCTTTACAATCTATAACATTCCTGGAAATTCTCCTCCCCCAAACTCACAGTATTGTAAGCTATCCTGTTGGGCTCTTTGCTCTTGATTTGTAACATAAAGCTGCTTAAGAGCCCCCAACAATAGCCATGCCACAGAAAGCATTTTTTCTTTTACATTTTTTTTTATTTAAGGAGAAAAAGAAAAAAACAGAAAAAGGTACAAGTAATACAAAATATAAAAAGTAAACAGTAAGAATTCACTCGTTAGTAGGTTACATATTCTCATCTTAGAAATAGTTGTTCAAGTTACAAAATTGAAGCATATAAAGTGGACTTTCAAACAGTGAGAGTGTAAACAGTTTTGTTCAGTGATGCAAAAAAACTCAGTAATATGGTTATCTTATACACTTAAACATATATGCAGTAATAACCTTTAGAGCACTTTCTTTTCTTTTCTTTACACATTTTGGGTTTTATCACTTCCACAGTTCTTATTACTTTTTTTGAAGAGAGTAAAACTAAATGCGACATATCAGAATAGAGTCAGTCAAATCAAAAGGATGGACATAATAGATAATGTAAAAACAAAATACAAGGTGATCAACAACGGTTACCATACTGCCTCTTGCTATTTTAAGAAGAATTGCCAGTTATAATAAAATTGAACAAAACAGTAAAGAATAAAATCAAAGCATTGGAGACATTACAGGGCTTTAAAAGAAGATAATGGTCAACCGGAATGGGTGTCATAATGAATCTTATTGTCTTCACAGTTTTGCCTATACTTTTAAACTTGGTACTATCAAGCAAAGCAGAATAGGGGAAAATCAGTCAAAACAAGATGGTGAGGGCAATATAGGATTTCAAATCAAATTAATAGGAAATCAAAGTAGATTACTATAATGTATCCTGCTATTTTTTATTTATTTTTCCCTTAATTAAAAAGATAAAAAGAAAAAAGTAAATAATTAAAAAGGGGGACTGAGATAAAAGAAGGCATAACAACAGAACAGTGCAGGTCAAATCATAACCATTTAAGCAAAATAGTGTTTCACCACAAGATACCCTGACATAAAAATAGTTACCATAGTGTCTCTTTCCTTGAAATCTTTGAGTATAACTTCATATGCTGTAGCACCAAACATATCAAGATACTATAAAACCATTCAAAAGAATGACATTATTACTGGGTATTTAGAACCAATTAACAGAAAATGAACAATGGTTTCTGTATAATTTCCTTGTCTATAAAAGTTTTTGCTTATATTATCATATATAATAAAATCCAATAAGATACAACCTCTTAAGACCGATGGAGACAGAAGAATACAAGTTTGATGGGACTTCAAAACGAGATGATACTAAATCAGCACTAGCTATTATAATGTCTTGTTTTCTCCAAAATAGCTGTTCCTACCATCCAATCTTCTCTGCCTCATTTCTGTTGAGCTCTTTTTCTGTCGTTTGTTGTCAGTTTGTCTTCTTCATTTCGCTTTCTGCTCCAATCATTGTGTCCTCTCTGCCACTATTTCTGGAATCTTGGTATTTTCCTTTTTTAGAATATCCTGCAGTATTCTCTGTAGAGTTGAACTGGTGATTGCAAATTCCCCTAGTTCCTCTTTATCCTGGAAGCACCTTGTTTTTCCATCAGTTTCTAGGGATAGTTGTGCAGGATATATCGTTCTTGGCTGGAGGTTACTATCTTTCAAAGCTTGAATTGTTTCCCTCCATGCTCTTAGTGATTTGATGGTTTTTGCCGAGAAGTCTGCAGTAATTTTGATGGGTGTTCCCTTGTAAGTGATCTGTTTCTTGTTTCTGATGGCTTTTAGTATTCTGTTCTTATATTAGATTTCTGAAATTTTGATTATTATATGCCTGGGTGTAGCTGTTTGGGTTGTAGGTGGCTGGGGTCCTGTATGCCTCATACATCTGAGTATCTTTACTATTTGCTAAATTAGGGAAATTCTCTTGGATTATTTCTGTGAGTAGCTTTTGTAGTTCATTTGTTTGTATCCCTACTTCCTCTTTTATGTTCTTAATTCTTAAGTTATAGATCCTCTTATCATTTTCTAGCCTTTGTATTGTTGCTGTTTGTTTTTTTGTTATTTTAAAGAAGTTTTTCATTTCATACTCCCATATTACAAACCTGCCCTCCAGTTCAGATAACCTATCCTTAGTTTCTTTCAAGCTGTTTTGCTAGTTTTCGATAGAGTTTTTAGTTTCCTGGTAATCTCTTTGAACCTGCTTCACATATTCTATGTTTTCTCTATTTTCTCTATCAAACAATTCTCTCCTTTTTTTCTGTTCTTCCATTCCACCATCTGTTTTTTCTTGGGCAGTGTTTAGCATTTCTCTAGCTATTCTACTTATATCTTGCTTCAGGTCATTAATAACTTCATTCCTGAATTCGTCTATGAGGCTCTGGAGATGGTGCTTTATGTCTATTGGTGAGGTGTCTGATAGTGCATGTTTCTCAGGATTGGGAGCTGAAGACCCTTTCTTGTTGCTCCCTCTCCATATTTTTTGTTCCTTTTATACAAGCGAATATAGGAGGCTCAGTTTCTTTTTTTGTCAGTTACAATTTGTTTGAATGGTGCCAGCTAGGTGTTCTCACCCACTAGTGTACTAGGGAAACAAAGACCTGGGCAGTCTATGCTGGGCCCACCCCTCCATGTCAACCTTCTGAAGGCTTCACTGATAGGGTGCACTTCCCGGTGCTGGGACCTGGTTTGGGCTAGCCTACCCAGTCTTAGTTTGTGGCATCATGCAGGCCAGGCACTCCCCACCAATCCTGCTTGAGAGGGGAATATGTGACTGAAGTCACTGCAACAACCTGTTCTGGCTAGTTTGCCCGGTCCCAGTATGTCCTTTGCTGAAGCCTCCTACTCTATGGAAGGGTCCCCATTCCTCTCACTCACTGCAGGTTGATGCAGGGCTCCCGGCCAGTCCTGTTCTCAACTCCATTCATCACTTCCCACTCTCAGAGCTTTTGTGCCTCTCTCCTTGCTGCGTCAATTGGGACACAGCAGCGGCTGCAGGAAATTCAAATCACAGCTTCCAGTGATGTGGGGTCCAACTTCTGCACTGAGACCTTATCTGTTCCTGTTATATGACTGGGATTGCATTTACAGCTGATTTCTCTTAGTTTAATTTATTCCTGGGTCAGCAAAGTATATCTCCCCTTGCTTAGGATTTCTTGCCCTGCACCATTCCTGGATTTTAAGTGTGGTTTCTCAGAGAGCCTCCAAAGCTGCTGCTATCTGCCATGTTCTCCTGGAAGTCCAACATTTTTTCTTGGTGAGTACATTCAAGTTTCTTCTGGCCAGGGATTTACCTCAGCAGCATAAGTGCCTTCCTGGCAAGCACAAGGTTGTGAGTTTGTTCCAGTTTTTGGCAGTTTCAGTCCACACTCAGTTGGCTCCAAGGCAGGCAGGCATGGCTGGGCCACAGTTCATGGTGGCTCCTCTTTTATATTTTTATTTTAAAACAAAACCACCCTCTTTTTTTTACTTATTATCAGTCAATTACCT